GGGTTCTCCTTCACTGCCTGAATCCAAATAAAGATTGCACAACCATCTGTTGTAGATGCTTCAGTTTGGATTCCTATATTGCAAAGGTCTCAAAACTTGGCAACTTTAAGACTTCAACTCCCAGAATTCCTCAGCCAGCATAGCATAGCTGCTATATTGGGTGAGGAGTGGATTTCAACGTTATGGTTCCACATGAAGATTAAGATTCTTTATAGGATTTTTACATTTTTCTGTGTGCTGCATAAAAATGATATAATGGTGATGTCTTTATATAAACATGGGATGGGCCCACTGATCTCATGAGCATAACCAATGTATGGTCTCAGCCATGCTTTCCCCTGACAAAAATTAGCTGTTGATGGGTTACTTTAACCTCCTGCCTTCTTAATATGCTTCTTTATCCTTAAACTGGAAGTTACCCTTAGACAGGTCAGGTCAGAATTCTGTTCTTTGACAGGCCATCAAACATTAGGTGGTATAAAAGAGCAGTACGGTAGTCAAATAACTTATTTTAGAATTTATTATGTGTTTTGCTCATCTACAAGTTCTTTATGATGGCCTTTCCCCAAATTTCAAACTTCTGATGGTCCTGGACTACTACAACTCCAATAATTCTCAGGTTTCAAGCTAAGAAGTATACTAGCTAAACAGTCTTATGGTTTTAGCTGAGCAAATTTGGTTGGAACTTGGTTGAGAAAGGCTGATTTAATGTTTTAATCACAATGGAGAGGATTGCCCAGAGGATTGCAGCTCTATCTGTGTATTATACAGATGAAAATAAAAAGAAGATTATCAACAGGCCATCCTTAAAATGCCCCCCACCTTCATCACCAACCTTTTATGGACCATAACAGTGTCCTTTATTTGGTGGAGTTCTGTTTTTTCTCTGCATTACCTTCAGGAATTTTCCTGATTTAAGTAAATAAGAAACATTTCTTTGCAGGAGAACAATAGGCTTATTTTCTGTAATTTGCCTTGAAAGAAGAGGAAAAGCTAGAAATATGTGAGGGATTCAGTTGGCAGCTCTCATAACTGGCCCCTTCCTGGCTGGTGATGGTGGTTTTAACAGAAGCAACATTGCAGATGCCACAATGGACCTAAGAATGAAAATCTGTCTGTCTGTCTGTCTCATCTCTCTCTCATCTCTCTATCTCAATTTATTTGTCTATCATCTGTCTATTTATATGCTGCTCATTTCACATTGTCAAAGTTGTGCTCTTGCCAACAACTATTGCTACTCTGCATCTGCAAGATTGTATTAATCACATCAAATATTTTTAAAACAATCTGAAAAGTGTATAGATCCTATGGTAAGTAACTAAGTGATGATGCGTGTTAAACAGGGTAATTATGTGTGATGCATGAAAAATATACGAATTTATATATTTATAATAACATTTTAAAAATCTTAAACAGCTAAATGGAATTTATTTCAAGTAGGTAAGGATAGGATTTCACCTTTCAATTTGTAGTTCACTCAGTCCTGAACGGTAGTTTTAGATAATATTTTTGTACAGCAATGCTTTACAATAATATTTTCCAAAAAAAGGTTTTTAAAATGAATTAACAAAGATCTTCATAAATGTAAATGACTTGCACATAAAGGGGGCTACTTGTCATATGTTTTTTCAAGTTGACTTTTTAAAAAACTTTTCTTTAGTCTAATAATCCCATTTTGGAGATTATTGTGTTTCTCCAAGGACAATACCTTTCTCCATCTATCCATCTATATCTATATGTTCTAAATGACATCTCTCTGAGGGGAGTGATAACTTGCTAAGGAATTAAAGGACAAAACTTTCCTAAATCCCTAGCTGCCACTAATGGAATATTTTGAAATATTTTGCTAATAAGGTAGGGGCGTTATAGCCAAGCTAGTACACTTTGCTGAATCTTATTGACAAAGTAGCCGCAGAAACTGTGATGGAGTCTGAACATGCAGGGAGACTGAAATCATTCTTAATGATCTATAGAGAAAGGATAGAGAACCAGTCAACATGTATCTATCAGCTCTAGTATAAATGACTAAAAGGCATTGATGGCCTTTGGCTGCTTTCTCCAACTCAGTATATCTTGCAAGCAATCAAAGGGCTTCTTTGGAGCATTAAGTAATGTTGTCTTTCTTCTTCCACTGGGATGATGAACATTTTGGAGTAGTTTGAAATTAGGAATATTTGACAATCTGTATGAGATAACCATACACTTTTGACAGGCTGTTTATCACTGGGTTTTGTATCTTCTTAGAATTATATTTAAATTACTGAAAGAATTTGGGAAATGTTTTCTTTCTAAACTGCAAACCCAGTTCTCTGTACAGGTAGTCCTCCATTTACAAGCACAATTGAACCCAAAATTTATGTTGTTAAGTGAGAAATTTCCTAAGTGAGTTTTGTCCAGTTTATGATTTATTTTGCCACATTTGTTAAGTGAATCACTACAGTTGTTAAATTAGCAACATGGTTGTTAAGTGATTTCCCCATTAAATTTGCTTGTCAGAAGGTTGCAAAAGGTGATCATATGACCCTGGGCTCTGTAACTGTCATAAATATGAACAAGTTGCCGAGCATCCAATGTGATCATGCTGCAATGGTCATAAGTGTGAAAAATGATCATGTCACTTTTTTCAGTGCTGTTCTAACTTCGAACAGTCACTAAATGAAGTATTGTAAATTGAGGACCAGCTGTATTTGTTAGTTTGAGTTTGGCCAACCCAGGTCATAGTTTAAACCTGATCTTGGTCTTGAAGGATCCTCTTCTTTGTCAAAAGCTCTGCCTCTACACTGGGAATTCCACACAGTGAAAAAATCTTGAAGCATTACACTAAAAATTCAGCAACACTTTGTACAAATAAAGGAGGGAATGAGGATTTTGCTTTCCTAACAAAAGAATTATTTCAGGAATAAACTACTTGCCATAATGATAGAGTGAGATTTCTCCACAGGAATTTGGGAACCAGAGTTAAAACTGGCACACAAAATCAACTAAAAATAGAAGTGTCTTTTTGAAAACAGTAAGAAGTATAATTCAGAATTTACCATACTAGTTTTCTTTTTCATTCATGAGAAACCCCTGCAGCTCTGAGCATCAAAAGAAACAACTTACTTTAGAAAAGAGCAAATATTCCTTATACAGTAAAACGGATACTTCTGTGGCGCCTCGTCCTTTCTCAAGCAGGAAGAATGGATCAGAGCTGAAATATAATAAGTGAATGAAAGCTCTGGAGTCATGGCCCTGAAAAACATGGTTCCCTCTGTCAAACAGCTGGAAACAACGAAGCCCCTTAAATCTAGAATTCTTTGGCTTACAGAAAATTTAGTAAAAAAAAAAGAAGAAGAGGCAATTTAGCCTGAAATTCAGCAATTTTGCTATCTAGCTCACAGGTTTTTAGTTATCCTATTCATGTAGAACTGTTTTTACACAGCAAAGACAAAATATATCCATCAAAAATGCTAAGACCCACACGTTTGCTTAGGTTACCTCTACATGGGTATTGTCAGGCACAAACGACCAGATCCTCATGTGTAGAGTCAAAGTTGACTATTTTATTGTTTTCTGCCTATAATACAGGAATCTTCCCAGGTTGTTTGCTTCCCCTTGGGAATAGATAGATAAGGTTCCATAGAACTTGGGAGGGGAGGGCCAGTCCTGGATCTTTTGTGGATACACAACAATTCAATGCTAATTCCCCACTTGAGTCCTCCTCCCCGCCTGGTTGGAGATGATTCTCACCATCCATATGTTCAGTGACTTAAGTGTTTCATAATAAAATAAACACTGAAAGGAGAGAAAAGCACTCCAAACAATGTCATGCCTCAAAGTAAGGACTTTGTATTTAGTTGGATTTTCCCAACCCAATTTAATGAGGACAGCATTTTATAATAGTTATTTAGAGCATAATATTCAGAGCTGTCAAAAAGGATAAATCTGCAACCCCTTCACAACACCATGTATTATTTTTCTGTTATTCACGTAGCTTCTGTTTCTTCCTGATCTTGCTTTGTTTCTCAGAATCCCTAAACCAACTTTGCTCCAGTTTTGTTTTAAACCTACAAATTACCATCATGAGTTGATTAACAAATGTTATGAAGTCTTCACATCTGAAGTACAATCATGACTTCATCAACAAGCCAACTGGTCATCACAGTCAATAAGATAAAATGATAGGGTGGTCAGGGACTATATAGTACACTATGAAGGCTATATACGGTATATAGTGGACTATGAAGGCAATATGAAGGAAAAGGAACAATGAAAAAACATTCAGAATGAAAGTTGCAAGCCACTGAAAATGGGAGGTATTTATTATGAAGAAGGAAAATGAAGCAAATGGTTTTGATAGGACTACTACTTAGTAAGGATGAAGATAAGTAATTGCCAGCTCAGAGACTGAACAAAATTATTTCACATGCATTAATTATATGATGTATGCATGGATTTAGCAGACTCATAAGCCAGCCAGCCAGTTGGCAACAGCTATGTAATTAACTTAGGCTTCTAACTACACAGACTTTTTGTCTAGACTTTGCCCAAAAAACGGGCACTTGTTTCTTTCAGCAATGTGTAAAAAAAGTCTGCAAACACTACTGTGAGCTTGTCATGTTTCAATGGTTTTCCTGCTCTGCACGACTGCATTGGATGCATTAATGCTGTCCCAATGGTTTTGCTGTCTCCATCTCCATTCCTCCTTCAGGGAGAAAAGGATAAGGAGAGGAGAGGAAGAAGTTGCATTAAAAACACAAAGTTCTATCCTGTCATTTCAGAAATGGAACAGATTTCAGTCATTCTGCCCAGAAGTCTGGCTTGGCTTTCATTGCAATGTGAAATGATGCACGTTTGAGGGGGAAGCGGGGGTTATACTGTAGAGCAAAAAGCAAAAAAAAGTCTGAAGGAGTAATTTACTTATTCTAGGGCTGCTTGATGCTAGGAATCCATCCCAGAAGAGTTGCATTTCATGATTCCAGTACACCTTAATTAAGACTAAGTGATTTTTCCTTCAGGTGACCATGCCTTTAAATGGGTTCTTTCCCCATTGCTTTGCATATGCATAGCAATGATGTGATGATATTATTAGAGGAGGCTATTCACCACTCTCTTTTCGGTGTTCCTTTTCTTTCTTTGAAGGAAAACAAAAAAGCTCTCAGAAGCTCAGCTCATGTACTTTGGGTCTCCTGCCCCCTTTTATATAAATGCTCAAAAACACTCCGGTGAATGCTCAAAAATACTGCTAAATGTTGATTATTTGCCACCTAACTACAATCGCTAAATGTTACTAGAATCTAAGAGCATGGAACAAAAAAACTGGAGTCACTTCTAGTTCTCTGAGATCTTTTCTATAGTGAAAAGTCAAGATGGCAACCAAAATGAAGCAATATGCAATGCTTATTTAAAAATGGGAAGAGCTCTGATCATACCATTGTGGTTGTCATCTTGATTTTTTCACCATAACCTGAAAGATACCTCTGATGGAATGCAGGTTACTCATCCTCGAGTTATCCAGAAAATCCACTGCATCACGAATAACAGAATATTTACGTGATCTTTTCTCCCAGGATCAAGAAAGTGAACAGAAATATATAACTATAGGGTGTAATAAATTCTATTTAATGTATGGATGAAATATAATATGTAGAACATGATGGGATTAGGAAAATGAATGCAATTGCCAGTCTTGTGGGCTGCAACTTGGAGGGCTGTATCAAGCTGCTACCTCACACACTAATATTAATACGTTTCCTTCAGTTAGACTTGTCCTCTTTTCACTCAATTTAGCAAAATGATAGTTGGGTCCTCCTATTTCCTAAACCTATCATCTTCAATCATGTTCATTAATTCAATTATTCCATCTAAGTATTGCACTGGGAACTAGATTTTTTTTTAAAAAGCATAATCTTTAAATATAACTTTTTGACACCTCTTTTTAAATATATTTTAGTTTTGGCAATTAATTAAGTCAAAATACTTTGCAACACAATATGAAATCTTAATGAAAGCAGAATTCTGGTTGATACAGGGAGGCAAAAAAAAATACCACACAGATCAAGTCAGATCCTATCAAAATTCACCATAATTTATTCAATCAAGTTATTTAATATTTTACTTATTATATTGATTTATATAACTGCATATCTCTGCTAATTGCAATTCGGTGAGTTTAAGTCTAAGTTTAAAACCAATAACAAACAAGAACAACAAACAATAACAAAATAATTCCAAAACAGTCTTGGTTTGGACATAACAGTGCTTAAGGACAATCAAAACAGTAATCACCATATTAAAAAAATCACATTAACAGGTTCATCCAACCTCCAGATCCAGAATGTCCAAATTCCTCAAGTACCTCTACTTTAGAGAAACAACAATGCTTCATTCCAATGTATATTTGAGTATTTCAAATTTTCAGGGAGCTGCCTGCAAAAGGTATCACCATACCAGCTTGAAATTGAAAAAAGCAACCTGATGTTCTCCAGATGTTTTGGACAACAAGAGTCATAATCTCATGTCATTAGCTTTGTAGCTAGCACTGATGGAAATAATCCACTATAGCTGAAGGACCTCAGGATATTAAACTGGATACTGACAGTAGTGGGAGAATGTCAATGAATTTGTAAGTTTCAATTCTTGTAAATTGATTTATTAATGGTCTAATTGCTATTGTAGGCTTCATATCTCAACCAGTCATTTTAACTCTATTCTTGTTTCATTCTACTTTATTTTGCAATAAAGAAAAATGCTCAGGGCCTTAATCTCTTAATTAAGTGGAAGTGTAGAAGTGTAATTTAACCACATCTTACTGCAGTCCTCCTAGTCGGCTTGCTGAACTGAGATTTAGCCACAACAGCAGAAATGTATAGCAAATATGTTTCAGGTTTTTCCAACCTCAGAAGTAATTCCTGATGGAATCCTTGCATTTTAAATATGTCTCTGCATGCTAGAAACGCCTCAGCTGTTTGTAGCACTTACAGTTAATGGCAGGCTGCCTTGTCTAGATACTAAATGAAGCTGATCTTGATCCATTCCTTTTATAACTTTTTTGTTTGGGGGAGGGGGGGGGAAACAGAGTAATACTCACATATTTGTAATGGAGAAAACATGTATTGCAACTGGATGCCCCAGGGAACCTTGGAGGTTGGGTGGGGCGGGGGGAAATCATTCATCTACCAGGTGCTGCCTTCTTTAGTCTGGAAATTAAACTCTATTTTCCTGAGTTTAACTTTGAGAAAGGACAGTGCAAGATTCCTAGAAAGTAGCTTGTCAGTTTTAGTAGGGGATAAAAAAAGGTATGCTGGGTAGAATCATGGGTAAGTATAGAAGCATGGGTACGTATGGTAGGGTATGTATGTAGGTTATGTACATAAGTAGGAGTTAAACCTGTCATTGCAGGGTAACACTGTATCCAACAACTCCACTATGTCCCAGTCACTTCTCTTATGACGTGGCATGCTATATACATCTGATTTTCTTTTATAATATTAATTATTTTAAATTCTTAAAAAAATGAATGCAAAAATTAGCAAAACAAATTATCACCTCCAGCATCTTATTTATCTGAGCCCCATAAAATTCCTACTGGAACAATAGAGAAGATCCTTGAAATCAATTTTCTTCTTGTAAATGGGTTGTGTAACTTCTGGTGCCCATCATGGCAACAATTTTACACCTACCATATGTTATCAAAGTTCTAAACATGTAGCCAGGCAAACGCTTTACTTTTCCTGGTGAGCAGTCTTGGGAAAACCACGACTATATTAATAACAATTCTCTATCAATAAAATGCAAATAATTGTTAATATGTGGAATGACCCGTGAGTTGTCACTTTTCAACAGGGATTTGGTAATTTTGAAAAGTTTCCTTGGAGTTTCCCAATGACTTCAGACAACAGCTAGAAGAATATTACAGGCTAATTATTGGTTTCAAAAAGGTTGTCCCTTGGATCCACAAAGAGAAAACCCATATTTTAAGGCCTTCTGGAAGACTAACAGAGGTAGAGCTGGCCTTTCCTCAGGGGGAATGATCTTCCAGAGGGCAGAGGCCTCAACAGTGAAAGCATGCTACCTTACCAGAGCTCTTTTGGAGATGGGACCCAGAGAATACCTCTCATGCTTGATCTGGTGAATGGGTAAATGTAATTGGACAGTTCCCTCAAATAATCTGGTCCCACGCCATATAGGGTTTAAAGATCAAAACCAGCATTTGAATTGCACCCAGGTTCTAACTCGCAACCTATGCAGCTTGGGGACAGAGTTGTAGAGTGTGCCCTCCAATATAACCAAGACTGTTTTGGAATAGCTTAACTGGCACGTGACCAATTAAAGCAGGAATGAAGAAGGAAAGTTGCAAGTTAGATCCAACACCGAACAGAATATCCCAGAACAATCAATGGGAAAAATAAACATCCAACATATATATTATATATTGTACACTCAAACAAACATATAGTACAGTATATCACTGAATCATAGAAAAATAATTTATCGCATTACAAAATGCCACCAATTATATAGTAGCAATAGCAATAGTAATAGCACTTAGACTTATATACTGCTTCATAGTGCTTTTACAGCCCTCTCTAAGCGGTTTACAGAGTCAACAATCTGGGTTCTCATTTTACCCACCTTGGAAGGATTGAAGGCTGAGTCAACCTTGAGCCGGTCAGGATCGAACTGCCAAACTGCTGGCAGCTGGTGATCAGCAGAAGTAGCATGCAGTGCTGCATTCTAACCACTGAGACACCATAGTGCCATAATAGCTCTGTCCATGTTAGTCAGCAGGAAGAACAAAATTGTGTATATCTTAGGGAAGAGGAGAATTCGTAACTAGGAGAGGCTTTTGGATCGTCAGAGAAATGACAGTTGAAATATGCTGGATCCCAATATGGAGTTCAATATAACCATTTTCATATGGTTCTGCCACAGAATCACCTGCACATACAAAATCCTTCCTTATCTTTTTCCTACACTGTGCACCAGACCAAAACAGAAACGATCCCAACAACATCACACAGGCTGAGCACAGGCCGAGGTAAGTGCTGTGAGAGTCTCTCTTAACAGGATGTGATGGTTTGGCAAACAACACATTCAGTGGAGTTTCTGGCTAAGCTTCACATGGACTGTAGCCTCAGTTAATCTCACGCTCATAAAAGGTTTGGGAAACAAAACAAGGTTCCCATGGTGTAGGGGCCTTTTGAACATACTGTATAGGAAAGCTAAACACCAAATCCTTTGCCAACGCTATTTGATGGCCTTTTTAAAATGTGCCAATTACTAAATTGTGGAGAGAAATATACGGGCCAGTGGAAAATCCAGCACTGGCCTAGAAAGGGAAAGGTGTATAGAAAGCATTTCCAAAAGGAAAAGGATGGAATCGTTTAGAAACAGGGCTGGCCAATCTTTAGTAGCCTGTGAGTGTTAGCTCTGAAAAGAACTCTGGGAAATTAGTGTGGTTGGCCACAGCATGCAAAATGGTTTCTAGAAGAATTTGCTGAGAGGGAATTTTCTACCAGGAAGACAGCCCAGAATATGCCCGGGATAAGCCAACAGGCCAGAGTCCCCTTACTTATCCCTCCTGCAGTTAATGCAGATGGGGAAAGAGTCTGATTTCTCGGCCTGAGAAAGTTCAACTTGGCAAGAGCAAGAAATGGTTTTGGAGCAGAAGGGACTGTGGAGAGCCTGGCTTCAATGTGCCTATGTTATAGGCTTAACCTATAGATTTTTACAGGTTTCATTTGTTTCCTGTGGGTTGCCCTAAGAATTGTGGAGCATCTGTACGTCTGTGTTGGAATCTAGCAAGGTCCAAGGGAAATGTCCCAACACTTCTTTTACTGCACCTGCCTATTTTGGAAAAGACTAACATGTTTTTCACGTACCTGAGGGGTAAATACATCCATGGAAATTGGAGCTTTCAGACATTTGTTTCTCTTTCTCTTCTCCACTTCTTCCTTTTTCTATATACAGATAGTCCTCGACTTACAACAGTTCATTTAGTGACTGTTCAAAGTTACAACACTGAAAAAAGTGGCTTACGACCATTTTTCACACTTACAACCCTTTTAGCATCCCCATGGTCATACGATTTACATTTGAATGCTTGACAACTGACTCACATTTATGACAGTTGCAGTGTCCAGGAGTCATGTAATCGCCCTTTGTGACGTTCTAACGCCTGTATTGAAGAAAACTAGCATTTAAACTCAGGATAAGCACCACAAAGCTACCTTTCAAATTGATAACATAGAGCTCTGTAAGTTTGATATCCCATTCAGTACAACAATAGCAAAATTGTACAGTAGACTAATTATTTAATCTCCCATTTTCCTATTGTTGTTTGAGAAAACAAATGGTGGGATTCTGAGTTGGAAAAGACAAAACTTGTACAGTTGGGGATATGGCAGCTTCAGCCAAAGACATCTGGTAGCCACCAGTTGGGGAAGATTATTGAAGTCTAAAGCAGGCAATGTGCATAAAATTTGTTATTATAATGACATTTACAAAGTCCTTGCCAAAGTCTTCCGGATTAATTGCAAATTATATGTTTTTATTATTGGTGTTCTCTTCTTCTCAAGAAGTAGTAGTTCAAGGGAAAAGTAGAAGATAGAAGGAAAAGTTTGAGTGAGAAAAATGCTGCCTGATACTCATTAATTCCCTTCATTGATTAAAATATCGTCAAAATGAGGCTGGATCCAAAGACATTCTTTAAAAATGTACTGGAGGAAGGAGGAGGAGGAAGAAGCAGCTGCAAAATTAAGGAAAGATAAAATCATCCGTGAATTGGCTGGAATGAATGTTTGTACATATTTGTGACTATATGTGCTGGGGGAATTTGTAAATTTAGCCTTTATTCTGATAATGCTGTCTAAGTGTATTTTTGAAATCAATCTGCTAAACACATGGCTGGGCTATTAAGAGGAGAAAAATGTTGCAGTATATATTTTCCTACATGTTTTCCTAAAATCCAAGATTCATTAGTGATACTGAATATAGACGGTGTCAAAGATGCTTTATAGTTCCTGGAACTGATTAAGAGGGAATTAGAAAGAATAGACATGCATTGAACAATAAAGCCTCTTATGGGAGGGGGAAGCAGACGATGAATGGTATGTGTGAGAATGAAGAATGTTTTTATGAAGAGCTGCTGTATTATAGATTGGACTACAGGAATGAGAGTAGAAGTATCTACTAGTCTCTGATTATGTTTTGTTGATATTGTGGAGCATACTTGCATGTCCACCTAAAGAAGGATGTGGCTCCCATGGAAGGACTCTCTAGATCAGGGGTGTCAAATTCAAGGCCCGCGGGCTGGATCTGTTCCATGGGTGCTTAGATCTGGCCTGTGAGACCACCGTGGAAACAACAAAGGACCCGCCTGCAGTGTCTCTGCTAGCAAAATTGGAGTTCGGAGCATGCGGCCATCTTGAGCTCCAGATGTGGCCCTCCTGAGCTCCATTTTTGCTGGCCGAGGGTTACAGGAGGCTGTTGCAGCTAAAAAAGGAGCTTAGGAGTCCATTTTGCTGGCAGAGCACTCAGGCCACCACAGGAACCCCCGACACCCACCCTGGCCATACCCACCCCAGCCCCTCGCGGTCAAACACAACCCTGATGTGACCCTCAATGAAATCAAGTTTGACAAACCTGCTCTAGATCCTTCACCTACGTTCCTGTGTCATCCCAACTCATACATCAGACCAGACCTGTAAATGCAGCCACGTTCCTTTCTTCCAAATCAAGTCCATTTACTCAGAAGGAGGAAATAGGTAAACTTGCTGCCTTCATGTTCTCCTCCCAGGATTGACCAAGCAGGAGGAAAGTGTGCCTAAAATTTAAATATATTCTGACTGAGGGGGATGTTTCAATAGGAAATGAAGTTTTTAGAATAGATATTAGAATTAGGGAACTAAACAGGAAATGAAGCAAAAAGGGAGGGAGGACTAGTCCCTGCAGTTTTCTTAGAAAGATTTCAAACGTGATTTGCCATTGCCTGCTTTCTAGGAGTGTGGGAGAGTATCTGGCCCAAAGTCACCCAATTGTGTCTAAGGCAGGACTGGAATTCACCATCTTTCTAGCCTTCTACACTAAACTGGCTTTCCAAGTACACATACAAGCCAGCTTATGTAATCAATTTCATATATGGCATTTCAAATGGTTCCATTTCATTGGCTAATTGACATTTGGTCACTTACACATCTGTAACCAGTGGAAAATCCTCTTCTCCACAATTTGCCTTTGCACATGCATTTAATAGTATATTCTCATAGCAATAG